CCTCTGCATCATTTGATGCACAAAGCCATTTATTAGAAAGTTCCGAGTAACAATCTCCAACAAAAGCAAAAACAAAATTACAAGTCCAAAAGCCACAATCGGCCAAAATAGGATAAAATGCCTACACACATATCCTAGTACTGGATCGCCATCCAAATCAGTTGTACGTATCCTGTGCTACCGTCTCCCAAGGGTTGCACCCACAGGCAATAAGTTCCCTCACGTCCGCATGGTGAAGTAATGACCATGTAAGGATCCATCCAGACGCTCTGTAGATAACTTACAATCTTTTTTGAATCTTTGTTTTGTTAAACACAAAATCATTTCGACAGTTCCAAATAGCCCAAAGTAATGCACATACTCCCACACGAATTTGCGCCGCAGTATTGGGCTCCACCCCACCTAGGCACACACCCGAAGAAGCTTAATCTCCATCGGAAAGAATCAGGCTCGTTAGATAAGGTGACCTCCATCAACCTTTGAACTAAACTAAGCCATGCGACCCATCTGTCCCCAACCAGAGCTCGCCTGAACTGGATGTAAAATCCTGGTTGACAGACAATAATTGGAAACACACTTGTCTGGTTAATTTTTCTTGTAAACTATAAACTACTCCCTCCGTTCACAAATATAAGATGTTTTGGATATTTCAATATGGACTACATACGGACTGAAATGAGTGAACAAACACACTAAAACATGTCTATATACATCCGATTCATAAAAAAGTTAGAACAACTTACATTTGTGAATGGAGGGTCGAGGGAGTATGTTACTTAACTGACTGAGGTATTTCTTTTGTACTGCTTGTTGAAAAGTTGCATGTTCTCTTACATGAAATGAGGGAACCTACTGATTTGATGGGTCATCAAGTGCATGAAGTTTCTGTCTATGAATCTGGACCATGCTGAAGGGTTCACACCATTAGTTCACTTTGTACTGTGTGTTTGGAGCATGCGATGAGCCGATGATGCAGGATGAAAGCACATCCTTGTGTTTGATTGAATGTATGATATGAATAATTTGGTGATAGGTGGATGGAAGGAACTCATGATAATGTTCTTTTGTTCTGTTCCCATAAGGTGCTAAATTGTGATACTTGGACCTTATATGCCCTTGCAACAGTGAACAAACAAAGGATTTGTATGATCCCTTGGAAGATGGGATCATCCACCTGCACTATCCCATACAGCTACAAGCTTATTTCAAAGCAAAAATCTCACTGCTCTATTTTCTTTTACAGTGGTTTGGAGATGCTGAGAAGTTGACGAAGGCACTTTTCTCTTTTGCTAGCCGACTAGCTCCTGTCATCATATTTGTAGACGAGGTATGTTCATTTCAATAGGAAAATGCTTACCACTGCCTTGGTTATGAACAATCTCTTGGTATGATGCAATTTCATCTGATATGTCAGGTTGACAGCTTACTTGGCGCCAGAGGGGGTGCACTTGAGCATGAAGCAACAAGGAAGATGCGGAATGAATTTATGGCAGCTTGGGATGGTCTAAGGTCCAAAGAGAACCAACGGATCCTTATTCTTGGTGCTACGAATCGTCCATTTGATTTAGACGATGCTGTTATACGGCGTTTACCTAGACGGTAATATACGTTCTTGTGCTCTTTGCTTTCAAACAAGCTATGTTGATCTAGCAAGGTGTTCACCTGTTTCATTCTGTACAGGATATATGTTGGCCTTCCAGATGCGGAAAACCGAAAGAAAATTCTCAAGATTTTACTGGCTAAAGAAAACTTAGAATCTGATTTTAAATTCGATGAACTTGCTAATGTGACAGAAGGTTATTCAGGAAGTGATCTGAAGGTATTAAACAAGAGCTTTCATTACCTTCTTCCCTGTAGTTGAATGAAAGTGAAACCGTTCTGTTTTTGTTCTTTTTTGTGTGCAATCATTCAAATGTTTAATGTGCAGAACCTATGCATAGCTTCAGCATACAGGCCAGTTCAGGAACTTCTAGAAGAAGAAAAGAAGGTAGTTATGCCCTTTTAACTGTCGGCTTGATGCGAACATGTTCATAATCATCAAAACTTGTGTGCATCTCTCAATTCCTTGCATGTTTACTGTCTTCTGTAGGGACGTGTGAGTAGCAACAGCACTCACTTAAGACCCCTTGTATTGGATGATTTTATACAGGCAAAAGCCAAGGTATGTAGGCTCATCAATTTTCCTAAAATCACCAAGTTTTGTGTTTCCCACTACTACTCTTACATTGGTATCCCCTATGCAGGTAAGCCCGTCTATATCTCATAACGCAACAAGTATGAACGAATTAAGAAAATGGAACGAACAGTATGGTGAAGATGGCAGCAGGACAAAATCGCCGTTTGGGTTTGGCAACTGACATGTTACAGTAGCAAAGTGTTGTTTGTAAAATCAATAGGCTGCCTATTTAGTGACAGGAAGTCGGCCCCCATTTTTCGCCCTGAGCCTATTTATACAGCCTCTCAGTGATCCTGTACAAATAGCAAAATATCAAGTCAAACGACAAATTCCAAGTTTTCCTGTAGCTGGTACTACCGGGGATTCCCCAATTTTCCAACATTGCAACGCTGAGCTACAAATTTGCTCCAGCTCTGCAAGAGCCTGACCCAGGTGTAAGTAGCACCAGAAAGTTTCAGTTGTTGTATGGCACTAATTCCTTGGACTTCAACTCAATTTAGTATTTTTTTTCATTATAGCCCTCCAATGTTTCCAGACCACAATGATGCTATAGTATTGCCTGTGTCGGTGTGTAATAAAGATAACATTTTGAGTTTCTATCGTTGTTTTGCGCCCTTTATTTACTGGATGAGTTGTTGTTTTTCTTCTTTGTTAATCGCGATCTCCCGATATAGCAAAACACCAGCATTTAAGTTGTTGTATAATCTTTTTTTTTTGTTGCTGAGGGGACTGCTGTATAATCTTTACCCGTGTCAATTGGAGCATTAAGGGATGGTAACCATGCACGTCAGGACTACAGAAGCGGTGGTTGGAACATATGGACATGGGGCCATGGGGGCGTGGTGGTGACTGGGCCGTGCTAATCCTAATCCGCATTTGCTCACGAGTGGCTCTGGACCCAAGCAGGACCACATGCGCACCGCGTGGTGCCATGCGGTACAGGAACTGCAGGTGAGAGTCTGGTCGAACAGCTAGGGATCTATGAATGCTCTCTCTGCGTGCTGATGCGCGGTCCGGTCATGCTGGAGGGACCACGTCTCTCTTTCTTTTCGTCGCGTCCAGGGCAATGATGAGGTGTGATCGTGCGAGCGAGTCGGCACGCCAGTGGTAGTCGTACGATCCTCCGCCTGGATAGTGATGGTGCTGTCTGTCGTTTACAAGAGAAATTATACTGCAAGCAAGCATGTGCCCAGACCAGAACGAGTCCGATCCGATCGCATGGGTGGGAAACACCTTCGCGTGCAAGTCAGTAACGTTCCCACCGTCCCGTCCAGCAGTAGTAAGTCAACGTTCAGATTTCACTTTCAAGTTGTACTGTGTTAAAAAAAAAGACATTTCACTTTCAAGCAGGTGCGGACAGGGCAGCTCAATGTACGGTGTAAATCTTTTTCTTTAGGGAACGTATGGTGTAAATCATTCCTCGGGTTTTTTTGACGGGTAAAAAACTTTATTTCTCAAATAATACACATGTCGTTTACAAGATAATAAGAAATAAAATCTGGAATCACAGATTCCCAAGAACTAGAGGATCTACTAATAATAAAAGAATTCGGGTTTAGTTTTCTTTACAAAAGGAGCTGGTAAACTGTCGCGAAAAGAAACAAAAACGAGCTGCAAAACCCAACTTGCATGGTACTACCAGTATTTCTCTCGCCAACAAACGTGTCCTCTCAGTATATATTCCATTCATCAAGCGACCAAAAGAAAGGCGAGGCAGACCGGACCAGACTAGAGCAGTCCGGTTGGTGGCCTCGCGGACTTGGTGAGGCACGAAGATCCCGGATCTGACTTCCGAGGGTTCTCGGAGTCTCGGGGATGGTTCGGTTGGTCGTGTCTCTACACTCTACCAATCCCCACAAAATGAAACAACAATGATGGAATACGTTTCTACCACTGCAATTTCGACCAACTGCTTATGTTGACCTCGCTATCCAACGAGTGCCCGACGTGATTCAACTACGAACAATTTATTCTGTACCGGCTACCGTCATAAAATGTTCTCCCAATGGAACCCAAGAACATGTTCATAGGCGCCGATCCCTATAGATTCTCCGGGAAGGAGATAAGATTAGGCTGCTTGTAATGGGCAGTATCATACTTTAGTAACATGCACATGATACGATACTATCTTCATAATGCACAGTATCATATATTAGTATCATAGGTAACCTTATTTATTGCCATACATGACACATAGTAGCATAGTATTTAATATGATACGGTATCATGATATGATACTCAACACTCTTTTTCTTCATTTAATTCTATGCCACCTCAGTAAAATAGTTTAGTTGGCATGCATGATATTAGCTATGATACTCCATCATCATTCGTGTCGCCGGCCGCCGTCATCGTCGGAGTGGTCCTTCTAGGGCGCGGGAGCGCGGTAGCCCTACCTGGCCGCCGCGTGGCGCTCACGGAGGAGCCGCTCCACTTCCTCCCGCGTCATGCGAAGGGCCGCATCAGTTAAGGACGCCCCGGCTGGCAAGCCTTGCCCTTGCCCCTGCCGCTGCCGGCGACGGTATTGTCGGTTGATACTTCTTCAACGTATCTATAATTTTTTATTGTTCCATGCTATTATATTATCAATCTTGTATGCTTTATATATATTTACCGGCAACTTTATATCATTTTTTAGGGCTAACCTATTAACTTAGTGCCCAGTGCAAGTTCTGTTTTTTTACTTGTTTTTGACTTTGTAGAATATCAGTACCAAACGAAGTCCAAATGCCAAGAAACTTTTTGTAGATTTTTTCTGGCAATAAGAGACCCTGGAAGCTTCTGGAGGCCACGAGAAGATGTGGAGTGGCCCACTAAGCACCAGGGCGCACCACAGGCCTTTGGAGCACCCTGATGGGTAGTGGGGCCCACGAGCCTCCTTTTGACCTACCTCCGCCTCTATAAATAAATACTCTAAAATCCCAAAACCTACAGGGGAGTCCAGGAAATCTTTTTCGTCGCCGCAAGTTCCAGAACCACGAGATCCAATCTAGAGGCCTTTTCCGGCACTCTGCCGAAGGGGGAAACGATCACGGAGGGGTTCTTCATTATCCTTGTTGCCCCTCCTATGATGCATGAGTAGTTTACCACGGACCTATGGGTCCATAGTTAGTAGCTAGATGACTTCTTCTCTCTCTCTGATCTTTAATACAATGTTCTCCCCAGTGTTCTTGGAGATCTATTTGATGTAATGACTTTTTGCGGTGTGTTTGTTGGGATCCGATGAATTGTGAGTTTATGATCATATCTATCCATGAATATTATTTGAGTTTTCTCTGAACTCTTTTATGCATGATTATTATAGCCTCGTATTTCTTCTCTGATTTATTGGTTTTGTTTGGCAAACTAGATTAATTTTTCTTGCCATGTGAAGAGGTGCTTTGTGATGGGTTCGACCTTGCGGTGCTCAATCTCAGTGACAGAAAGAGACATGACACGCATGTATCCTTTCTATTAAGGGTAACAAGATGGGATTTCTTTCATCCGTGAGTTTATCTTGTCTTACATCATGTCATCTTGCTTAAAGCATTATTCCGCTCTTTCATGAACTTAATACACTAGATGCATGTTGCATAGCGGTCGTTGTGTGGAGTAATAGTAGTAGATGCATAATCGTTTCGGTCTACTTGTCTCAGACGCGATGCCTATATATATGATCATTGCCTTGGATATCGTCATAATTATTTGCTTTTCTATGAATTGCCCAACAGTAATTTGTCTATCCACCGTATGCTATTTTCTTAAGAGAAGCCTCTAGTGAAAACTATGCCCCCGGGTCTATTTTCTATCATATATTAAAACAAAAAATACCTTGCTGAAATTTTATTTTATTTTGTATTTTTTAGACCTATCTATCAAAAACTCTATCTTTTAATTTTGCTCATAACTGTTGAGGGATTGACAACCCTTCTATGCGTTGGGTTGCTAGTATTTGTTGTTTGTGTGCAGGTGTTGTTTATATAGTGTTGCTTGGTTCTCCTACTGGATTGATAACCTTGGTTTCATAACTGAGGAAAATACTTATCTCTACTGTACTTCATCATCCTCTCCTCTTTGGGGAAATCCCAACGTAGCTCACAAGTAGCATCGGTCTTGCCAAGAGAACACTCCTCGCCGATCTTGGCGAGCTCCCCATTGAGGAGGCGTCGTCTCCATGGTGGTCAGCAATCAGACGAGGGCTCAGGCCTCCGTGAGGTCGGGGTCCGCGCGGACCCAGGTCGCTGCCTCGTTGAACTTGGCGAACGGTGAGAGGCATGCCGCCTCCCTGGTCACCCTCTCCTTGTTGGGGAACGCAGTAATTTCAAAAAAATTCCTACGCACACGCAAGATCATGGTGATGCATAGCAATGAGAGAGGAGAGTGTTGTCTACGTACCCTCGTAGACCATAAGCGGAAGCATTATGACAACGCGGTTGATGTAGTCGTGCGTCTTCACGATCGACCGATCCTAGTACCGAAAGTACGGCACCTCCGCGATCTGCACACGTTCGGCTCGGTGACGTCCCACGAACTCTAGATCCAGCAAAGTGTCGAGGGAGAGCTTTGTCAGCACGACGGCGTGATGACGGTGATGATGAAGCTACCGGCACAGGGCTTCGCCTAAGCACTGCAATGATATGACCGGGGTGGATTATGGTGGAGGGGGCACCGCACATGGCTAAGAGATCGATGATCAACTTGTGTGTCTATGGGGTGCCCCCTCCCCCCGTATATAAAGGAGTGGAGGAGGAGGAGAGGGCCGACCTCCTAGGCGCGCCCAAGGGGGGAGTCCTACTCCCGGTGGGAGTAGGATTCCCCCTTCCCTAGTTGGAGTAGGAGAGGGAAGGAAGGGGGAGAAGGAGAGAAGGAAAGGGGGGCGCCGCCCCCCTTCCTAATCCAATTAGGACCAGAGGGGAAGGGGGGGCGCGGCCTGCCCTGGCTGCCTCTCTCTTTCTCCACTAAAGCCCATTAGGGCCCATATACTCCCCGGGGGTTCCGGTAACCCCCCGGTACTCCGGTATATGCCCGAACTCTCTCGAAACCTTCCCGATGTCCAAACTGTTGGGGAACGTTGCAGAAAACAAAAATTTTCCTACTCGTTTCACCAAGATCATCTAGGAGTTCATCTAGCAACGAGTGATTAGATGCATCTACATACCTTTGTAGATCGCGAGCGGAAGCGTTCAAAAACGGTGATGATGT